CTTTGTGGGTTCCAGTGCTGAGCAGGGGGTTGGACTAGATGACCTTTGAGATCCCTTCCAATTCAACATCCTGTTTCTTTGTAGATAGTAGGTGTGCTTGAACACAGATGATCCTCGACTTACGACCACAATTGAACCCGACATTTCTGTTGTTAGGTGAGGCATTTGTTAAGTGAGTTTTGCCCTATTTGACCTTTTTTGCCACAGTTAAATGAATCACTGCACTTAGTAACATGGTTGCTAAGTGACTCTGGCTCCCCCATTGATTTTGCTTGCAAAAAGTGATCACATGACCTTGGGACATAGCAACAGTCATAAGTATGAACCAGTTGCCAAGTATCTGAATTTTGATCACATTGTTATGGGACTGCTGCTGCAAAGATCGTAAGGGTGAAAAATGGTTATAAGTCATTTTTTTAAGTGCTGTTGTTACTTTTAACAGTCACTAAATCAACTGTTGTAAGTTGAGGATTACAAGTTCTTGATTTACAATCACAATTGAGACCAAAATTTCTGTTGCTAAGCAAGACAGTTAAATGAGTTTTGCCCTAATTAATAACCCAGTTAAGTGAATCTGGCTTCCCCACTGACTTTAACTTTTTTGACCATACTTTGTGAGCACCTTTGCATTGGGAACACACAAGTGTTTTATTATACAAACTATTTCACAAGCCTGTTACTTGCAACAACGGTAAATAGCATTTATTTCTAAATAGCATTTAGGATTCTCTTCAAGATGCCCTCTCTGGAGCACTATTGTATAGTGATCACTCCAAGAGCAACCTTAAAGACATGTGAACTTCAACTCCCAGAATCCCCCAGTCAACAGGCTGAGAGTTGAAACCCACACGTCTGAAAGCTGCCGAGTTTGAGAAACACTGTACTAGAGGCATGAAACCTGATATCTGCGGAGCAAATGGAAAACACTCTTGGAGTAGTATGGAACTCAACCGTGGGAATCAAGACTCCAGCCTGACTCCGTGCAGGGAATTTCCAGGGCAGCCTTTCTCTGCGCTAATCCCTTGCTTCTTTCCCGACCTTCCTTATGATTTATCTTATGATTTAGGATTATCTTATGATTTATGATGATTGTATTTTATGATCATGATTTATCACTTGTTGCTTGTACCTACACTGAGAGCTTATGCACCGCAGATAAATTCCTTGTGTGGCCAATCACACTTGGCCAATAGAGTCCTATCCTATCCTATCCCAAGGGGGATCCCGACCGCGATGGGCTCCCCTTTCCAGCCGCGCGTTCCGTTCAAGCGACGGGGAGGTCCCGGCGAACGCGCGGCGCGGATCCCGACTCTAGGAGGGCTTAGTGGAGGAAGAGGAGGGGGAGGGGGCGGGACCAGAACTCGGGCGTCCAAACCCCTGCTCGGGTCGCCGCCTCTCCAGCGGTTGCCCCTTGTCTGTCCGCAGCCACTCACTCTCTCCGCCAATTACAAAGCAGGAGGAGGGGGGCCGGCCACCTTAGCCAATCTGCACGAAGCGACCGCCTTCTGTCATTCTCCCCCCTCCCCTCCGCCCAGCATTCCTCCCGTCCCCCTCGGAGCCTCCCCCCCCCCCGAGGCAGGATCGCTACTTCGAAAGGACGGGCGGATCGCGAGGGCTTTGGGGCGGCTGCCCAGGGCGGGGCGGGGATCCTTCGGATCTTCTTTGCCTGGTTCTTCCCCCTCTCTCTTCCCGCCCTCCTCCCCCCCCCCATCGCCCTGTTCCCCAGCATCGGCGAAGATCTCCCCCNTCTTTCCCCTCTCTCTTCCCACCCTCCTCCCCCCCCATCGCCCTGTTCCCCAGCATCGGCGAAGATCTCCCCCTCCCCTCCTCTCCCCTCCGGAGGCCCGGGGGGAGCCGGATCGCAGGAAGCAATCGCGTCCTCTCGCTCAACGTCCTTCCCCGAGTGGTCCCGATCTCTTTCTCTCGGGCCCCCGGCTTCAGCCCAATCCCTCCCTCTCCACCCCCGTTCCAGCCTCCCCAACTCTCCGGGTGCTGCGCGCAGAGAGAAAGATCGCCTGGAAAGGAAAGCCACCCACGTGGGCTGGAGAAGCAGCTGTTGCTGTGGGTCCCCACCCCACCCCCCATCTCACCCCAGCTGTGGAATGAAGGCTAAACCTTCAGGTGAGTGTCAGACAGCCAAGCGATGGGGCTGGGGTCAGGGGCTCCTGGGTTCAACCTGTCAATCTGGGGGCTCCCGTGTCTCTTTGAACCTCTGGGAAGAAGCCTTCCTTCCTGAGATTGATTCCCTTTTTTAAAAAAAAAATACAGGTAGTTCTCGACTTAACGCACCACGATTGAGCCCAATATTTATATTGCTAAGTGAGAAATTTGTTGAGTTTTGCCCCATTTTACGATTTTTCTTGCCACATGTGTTAAGTGAATCACTAGCAGTTGTTAAGTTGGTAACACGGTTGTTAAGTGAATCCGCCTTCCCCATTGACTTTGCTTGTCAGAAGTTTGCAAAAGGTGATCACATGATCTTGGGACACAGCAAGGGTCATAAATACGAACCAGTTGCCAAGCATCTGAATTTTGATCACGTGATCATGGGGATGCCTGCTGCGGTTGTAACTGTGAAAAATGGTCCTAAGTCACTTTTTTCAGTGCCGTTGTAACCTTGAACGGTCACTAAATGAACTATTGTAAGTCGAGGACTACCTGTACAGGCAACCTCCTTTATTTTCTAGGGATCACAATCCAGACAGGACTAAGTCTTGGGGTCCTACTTTGCATCCTCCGTGGAGATACCATATTGCCTTTAGGTCCTTCTGGAAACAAGGATGATGCTAAGGATTTAACAAAAGTCTGGACTTTCTTCAAGGATGCAGCCAATTTGTGGGAGGGCTTTGAGTGCTATACTCAAAATTTCACTTTTTGTTTATGGATGTGATTTTTATCCTGTCTTTATTATGGCCTCATTGACTTCATGGGGCTGTTGCAGAGAAACTGATGGCTGGCAGTTGACAAGTTACTTGCTTTCCAGCACTATATTAAAGAGGAAGATTGCTTTTAATCTGGTTTCTCTCCAAAAGCCATTTACTTTTGCCTGACCTGTTCTAGAAGCTTCTACAGTGGACGAAGATGGGAGCAAGATAAATAACCACGAACCCTGAACATCTCCTCCCACACACCCAATTTAAAAATGCCAAACATCTTATATTTGTTTCTACTCTGACTACTAGTATAGGAGAACCCGAGTAGGATATAGGACAGTGACGGCGAACCTTTTAGAGACCGAGTGCCCAAACTGCAACCCAAAACCCACTTATGCATCTTCGAGTGCTGGGTGGGTGTGGCCCATTGGGTGGCCGTGGCTGCGGTGGTAACGGCAGACTGGGTGGGACTAAAAAGTTCAACCAATCAATTCCAACTTTGCAAGGTTTTTTTTTTCCCGCGAGAAGTTGAAATTGACTGATTGAACCTTTTTTTTTTTTTGCACACGGCGGCGGAGGCCTAAAGCGAAAACGTTTTATAAAACCCAGCTGAAGACCTAGGACTGGGGCGATGGCACAGAAAGGGCTCTGCGTGCCACCTCTGGCACCCGTGCCATAGGTTCGCCACCACTGATATAGGAGGTTCTTAGAATATTTTGATATCTAATTTGGATCTATGCCTAACTTTTTAATAGATTCCTTTTCTTCCTTTCTGTATTTTCAGATGGATGGACCACTGGTGAAAGGTGAGGGCAAGTCCTGGGAATCCTTGGGACTGAGTGCTAGACTGAAGAAGGGAGTGGAAAGGATACGAGAGATCAAGGTGCACAAAGCCAAAATTTCTAGGGACGAAGCCATGTGTTTTTTCCTGAAGTTTGAAGGAATCAGCTGGATCTGAAATAGGCATATTTTTCTTGGCTGTAATGTGATTACTAAAAGCATGGTTAAGTTTAGGGTGACAAATGCCTTGTGCATGACTGGAGACCACTCATTTGAGAAAATGAGTGCAGAGAAGAAACAAAACCAGGCTTTTAGAAGTTGTGATATGAAACACATTTGGTATTTCAAATGCCTTCCCTGTGAAATGTAATTGGAACATATGGAAACTAGTCAAGGAGAGAAGCAACCTGGAACTGAGGAGAAACTTCCTGACAGTTAGAACAATTAACCAGTGGAACAACCTGCCTCCAGAAGCAGTGAATGCTCCAACACTGGAGGTTTTTAAGAAGAGACTGGACAGCCATTTGTCCAAAATGGTGTAGGGTTTCCTGCCTGAGCAGGGGGTTGGACTCGATGACCTCCAAGGTCCCTTCCAACTTTATTATTATTATTATTATTATTATTATTATTATTATTATTATTATTATTATTATTATTATTATTATTATTATTATTATTATTATTATCATCATTATCATCATTATCATCATCATCTAAATCTAAATCTAAATCTAAATCTACATCTGAAATAAATAGGCTTGACTTGCTGAGTGTTTAGCATTCACATTGTCTTGTTTCAATTCACAAAATTCCTTGTGGACACTTAGTTGTAGCAATTTACAACCTAGTGATTACACACCTCACTGTGTAAATTCTTGTTTGCATTTGCATGAGGAACTTGCAAACTGAAATATGTTGTTGACATTTAACTTTTAAGATTGGTTGTAAGATGTTGTGTCTGTCTCTTTGTTTGGGAACAAACTGAACCTAAGGTAAATGCTGAATCTTTTGTTCTGCTCCTTTGGCTTTCCCAGCTGGATTCTTCCTCCTTTCGGGATAGATTGCCTGCCAGAGTGGATGGTAATGAAGAAAAGCGATTGATTAGAGTAAAGACTGAAAAAAAGGAGAAAGCAGATCTGGAATTTGAGATGGAAATTTCTGCAGGTGGAAAACTGGTGAGTGGAGACAAGGAAGATAGAAACATTGAACGTTTAACTGGATGGGTGGAAGAACCAGCTTGTAAGGAAAGAAGTAGTTCTTTAAAGATTGTTATTATTTGGATTGTTTTGTCTCTGCTCAAACCAGCTGGGCCCTGCATCTTCACGAGGTTCCTCAACTCAGGAAGAGATGAAGGTGGAAACAGAGGAGCAGAAGGTACAAGAATTTGAGGTGCAGAAAGTCACCATCCCAATAGAGGGTTCGGTGAGTAGTAAGGAAGTGCAACTGTGGGAACTTCAAGAGATGGGATGGTTTAAGGACTTCTGCCTTGAGCAGAGGGTTGGGCTAGAAAACCTCCAAGATCTCTTCCAACCCTATGATTCTATAATTCTATATCTTGAGGAATTGTTGAAACTTGCCCTGAGCTTTGTTCAGCAATCTTGGGAATATGAGGTTCTCCTTTAGGTCCAGACCTATACCCTGAAGATAGCTTTTTGGCTGAACCTTGCAACAGCATGGCTTTCGGGCTATTTGATGAAATAGTTCCACAGCTATGCATCAGGACTAAACATAGCAGAATTCCCAGGATCTGGCTGTATCATGGTTCCTGTACATGTCACACACAGCATATTTTACTCCAGTCTTTGAAAGAGAATTTGGCCAGGTTTGTGTTTCACTTCAGAGGGCTGAAGCACTGGTAAAACTCTCTTAAATCAACTTTCAAGTTTGGTATCCTTAAAATGGGTCAGGATTGCTGTTTCCAGAATTCCCAGATTTTTTTTTAGTTCTTTTTTCCTGTGCCTGTTGGATTCACCCACCTCTTGTATACCGACCAGAAGCATCCATGTGGGAGGAGTCAAAAATTCAAGATGGCTGCAATGACTAGGCAACCAAAGCCCATCTCTTTGCACGTGACATTGAAAATGGGCGGGACTTCAAGTGTGTGGTTGTAGCTGCCATCTTGAATTTTTTGACCCTGCCCTTTTAGGCGTCTCTGATCCACGCATAATAATAAATGAATGTATGAGAGGCCCACATATTAGGAAAAGTTGAGCCTAAGTTTTTATCGTGGATGTTGAGCAGAATGTAGCACATATTAGTTCCTGGGCTGATTGAGAAAGAAATTCTAAAGTTTGCTTCCCTACCTCAGGATGCCCTTGACGTGATGAACCGTTGCCTGGAGGCCGTACGGGTCTGGATGGGGAGGAACAGACTCAGACTCAACCCTTCCAAGACCGAGTGGCTGTGGTTGCCGGCGCCCCGGCATAGCCAGCTGACTCCATCGCTGTCTATAGGGGGCGAAACTCTGGCCCCCTCAGAGAGGGCACGCAACTTGGGTGTCCTCCTGG